ACTAAAATAACATATGCTCTGTTCATTAGTCACATCTCTAGGCCCCTCTTATATTATTATTGCTTTCTATTTTGATTTTTTATTCATACAAAAAAATACAAAATTTACTGTTATGCAGACGACTGCATTATTGTAAAAATGGTATAAATAATATCAGTGCACTAGTGAAAGAATATTAGACTCCCCAGTTGACGTGTATTGGACGTGTGGTGTGATTTATGTACTCTTGAACATTGGTAAAAATCGAACATTTCCGCTACTTTGAGCTCAGTTTCAAGGTCGTTTTCATCGTAAAAGTAATGAAAATCATCTCTATTTCTGTAATATGTTTTCCATTTTATCACCTAAGACCATGAAAACGCGAATACAACGATAAATACTATACTAAAATACACCTCAAAGTCGGCGTTTTATTCCAAAAAAACGATCAGAGTTTTTTTTTTCTCATTACGCAATGTGTGCTGCAGGATTTTTTTTATGTGGTGCACACTGACCACACAGACCCATTCTCTCACATGTGGGCCTACCAGCTTTCTCCCACTTGATTTGAAGCCGCTAGAATTATTGAGTATATATACGTCAGAAACATTGGCTCGTAAGATGTATTTATACGTCGAAAACAGTCAAAGGGTTAAAGTAAAGGTTGGATGCGAAAAGTGGGTCATAATAAGCGTGTATGCACCTGGAGAAGAGAGGAATGTAGAGGAGAGAGAGAGATTTTGGGAGATGTTAAGTGAATGTATAGGAGCCTTTGAACCAAGTGAGAGAGTAATTGTGGTAAGGGACCTGAATGCTAAAGTATGAGAAACTTTTAGAGAGGGTGTGGTAGGTAAGTTTGGGGTGCCAGGTGTAAATGATAATGGGAGCCCTTTGATTGAACTTTGTATAGAAAGGGGTTTAGTTATAGGTAATACATATTTTAAGAAAAAGAGGATAAATAAGTATACAAGATATGATGTAGGGCAAAATGACAGTAGTTTGTTGGATTATGTATTGGTAGATAAAAGACTGTTGAGTAGACTTCAGAATGTACATGTTTATAGAGGGGCCACAGATATGTCAGATCACTTTCTAGTTGTAGATACACTGAGAGTAAAAGGTAGATGGGATACAAGGAGAATAGAAGCATCAGGGAAGAGAGAGGTGAAGGTTTATAAACTAAAAGAGGAGGCAGTTAGGGTAAGATATAAACAGCTATTGGAGGATAGATGGGCTAATGAAAGCATAGGCAATGGGGTCGAAGAGGTATGGGGTAGGTTTAAAAATGTAGTGTTAGAGTGTTCAGCAGAAGTTTGTGATTACAGGAAAGTGGGTGCGGGAGGGAAGAGGAACGATTGGTGGAATGATGATGTAAAGAGAGTAGTAAGGGAGAAAAAGTTAGCATATGAGAAGTTTTTACAAAGTAGAAGTGATGCAAGGAGGGAAGAGTATATGGAGAAAAAGAGAGAGGTTAAGAGAGTGGTGAAGCAATGTAAAAAGAGAGCAAATGAGAGAGCGGGCGAGATGTTATCAACAAATTTTGCTGAAAATAAGAAAAAGTTTTGGAGTGAGATTAACAAGTTAAGGAAGCCTAGAGAACAAATGGATTTGTCAGTTAAAAATAGGAGAGGAGAGTTATTAAATGGAGAGTTAGAGGTATTGGGAAGATGGAGGGAATATTTTGAGGAATTGTTAAATGTTGATGAAGATAGGGAAGCTGTGATTTCGTGTATAGGGCAAGGAGGAATAACATCTTGTAGGAGTGAGGAAGAGCCAGTTGTGAGTGTGGGGGAAGTTCGTGAGGCAGCAGGTAAAATGAAAGGGGGTAAGGCAGCCGGGATTGATGGGATAAAGATAGAAATGTTAAAAGCAGGTGGGGATATAGTTTTGGAGTGGTTGGTGCAATTATTTAATAAATGTATGGAAGAGGGTCAGGTACCTAGAGATTGGCAGAGAGCATGTATAGTTCCTTTGTATAAAGACAAAGGGGACAAAAGAGAGTGCAAAAATTATAGGGGGATAAGTCTGTTGAGACCTAGGTAGTAGGTTGGTAGACAGCAACCGCCCAGGGAGGTACTACCGTCCTGCCAAGTGAGTGTAAAACGAAAGCCTGTAGTTGTTTTGCATGATGGTAGGATTGCTGGTGTCTTTTGTCTGTCTCATAAATATGCAAGATTACAGGTAAGTCTTGCTACTTCTACTTACACTTAGGTCACACTAAACATACATGTACAAGCATATATATACACGCCCCTCTGGGTTTTCTTCTATTTTCTTTCTAATTCTTGTTCTTGTTTATTTCCTCTTATCTCCATGGGGAAGTGGAACAGAATTCTTCCTCTGTAAGCCATGCGTGTTGTAAGAGGCGACTAGAATGCCAGGAGCAAGGGGCTAGTAACCCCTTCTCCTGTATATATTACTGAATTTAAAAGGAGAAACTTCAGTTTTTTCTTTTGGGCCACCCCACCTCAGTGGGATACGGCTGGTACGTTGAAAGAAGAAGAAGAAGTCTGTTGAGTATACCTGGTAAAGTGTATGGTAGAGTTATTATTGAAAAAATTAAGAGTAAGACGGAGAATAGGATAGCAGATGAACAAGGAGGCTTTAGGAAAGGTAGGGGGTGTGTGGACCAGGTGTTTACAGTGAAACATATAAGTGAACAGTATTTAGATAAGGCTAAAGAGGTCTTTGTGGCATTTATGGATTTGGAAAAGGCGTATGACAGGGTGGATAGGGGAGCAATGTGACAGACGTTGCAGGTGTATGGTGTAGGAGGTAGGTTACTGAAAGCAGTGAAGAGTTTTTACGAGGATAGTGAGGCTCAAGTTAGAGTATGTAGGAAAGAAGGAAATTATTTCCCAGTAAAAGTAGGCCTTAGACAAGGATGTGTAATGTCACTGTGGTTGTTTAATATATGTATAGATGGGGTTGTAAGAGAAGTAAATGCGAGGGTCTTGGCAAAAGGCATGGAGTTAAAAGATAAAGAATCAAACAAAGTGGGAGTTGTCACAGTTGCTCTTTGCTGATGACACTGTGCTCTTGGGAGATTCTGAAGAGAAGTTGCAGAGATTGGTGGATGAATTTGGTATGGTGTGCAAAAGAAGAAAATTAAAAGTGAATACAGGAAAGAGTAAGGTTATGAGGATAACAAAAAGATTAGGTGATGAAAGATTGGATATCAGATTGGAGGGAGAGAGTATGGAGGAGGTGAATGTATTCAGATATTTGGGAGTGGACGTGTCAGCGGATGGGTCTATGAAAGATGAGGTGAATCATAGAATTAATGAGGGGAAAAGGGTAAGTGGTGCACTTAGGAGTCTGTGGAGACAAAGAACTTTGTCCTTGGAGGCAAAGAAGGGAATGTATGAGAGTATAGTTTTACCAACGCTCTTATGTGGGTGTGAAGCATGGGTGATGAATGTTGCAGCGAGGAGAAGGCTGGAGGCAGTGGAGATGCCATGTCTGAGGGCAATGTGTGGTGTGAATATAATGCAGAGAATTCATTGTTTGGAAGTTAGGAGGAGGTGCGGGATTACCGAAACTGTTGTCCAGAGGGCTGAGGAAGGGTTGTTGAGGTGGTTCGGACATGTAGAGAGAATGCAGCGAAACAGAGTGACTTCAAGAGTGTATCAGTCTGTAGTGGAAGGAAGGCGGGGTAGGGGTTGGCCTAGGAAAGGTTGGAGGGAGGGGGCAAAGGAGGTTTTGTGTGCGAGGGGCTTGGACTTCCAGCAGGCATGCGTGAGCGTGTTTGATAGGAGTGAATGGAGACAAATGGTTTTTAATACTTGACGTGCTGTTGGAGTGTGAGCAAAATAACATTTATGAAGGGGTTCAGGGAAACCGGCAGGCCGGACTTGAGTCCTGGAGATGGGAAGTACAGTGCCTGCACTCTGAAGGAGGGGTGTTAATGATGCATTTTAAAAACTGTAGTGTAAAGCACCCTTCTGGCAGGACAGTGATGGAGTGAATGATGGTGAAAGTTTTTCTTTTTCGGGCCACCCTGCCTTGGTGGGAATCGGCCAGTGTGATAATAAAATAAAATAATTATTACAATATTGCATAACAGTAAATCTTCTATTTTTTGGCGTGAATAAAAATTCATTATGTGAATAAAAAATAAAAATGGAATTCATTTGTAAAGCCTGGAAACGTAACTAATAAACAGAGGAAATGTTATTTTAGTGCCAGGAATACCTGCATTATTTATTCTGAACCCTATTTTGAAAATGGAATATCTTCAACTCTGTGTGAAATTTGCCAAATTGCCAATTTCCAATCACTTTATTGGGTTGTTGAAACAGTCGACTGGGTGATTTCTTGTGCTCAATTGATAAAATAGAAGTAATACTAACAAAATAGCTAAGAATTTGGCAGACTGGAATAACGTAATTGGCCTAAAATGGGAGTCAAAGTCGGCAAAATCGCTGATGCGTAAATATTGCTGACGCAGCAAAATTCGCGAAAGAGTAATTTCATCAATTTTCCATCAAATTTTATACTTTTTGTTTTATTACATTCAGAAAAAGATTCTCTATCATTTCATAAGAAAAATATCTTTTTTTTTTTTAAATTCTTGGACCATGTGGACAAGTTTCAGATCGGGGGTCTGGACCCTGAAAGGGTTAAATCTAATATTTGCAGCACTGCCTAGCTGATGGCTTTCTGGCACTCCATCATGATATTCTTTTGAAGGGAAGATAACAGCCAGAGAAGGCTAAAATGTGCATGAAGAATGTGAAGACAACAAATACACACTGTACAGGAAAATAAGTATGAACACACTAAGTTTGAACACACAGTACTCAGATATTCATGAAAATTGTTTTAGTCTTTTGAAAAATAATAAATTCTTAGGGAAAAAAAGCAAAGCTTAATTATACTTTGGACAAACCTTTAATTAAAAAATAATAGTGTCATTCAGTCTACAAAACTGTAATTTTAATAAATAATGAGTATAAAAAAAAAGGAGTACTCGTAAGTGCTCAAAAATTGATGTAACTTTAATATTAACAAGAACTCACCCGCTTGCCCTCGCCACAGACCAATGGGTACTTAAGATCATCTTGAGTCAGTGTTTTGTAAGCCCATCCAGTCATGAAGTGATCACGATACAAGACTCGCTTGCCTAGATCACTTCTCAAGGGGCGGCGTATAAAGTCCAAGTGGGTGAACTCTCCACCAAGAAGCCCAGGATGCATAGCTCCCTGGTAGTGATTAATTCAAAAATTTATTGAAGTGGCCAAAAAAATATAATAATAATATACTCAAATTAAGGGAGCAAGGGGCTAGTAACCCTTTCTCCCGTATAAATTACTAAATTCAAGAGAAACTTTGGTTTTTCTTTTTGGGCCACCCTGCCTTGGTGGGATACGACCGGTGTGTTGAAAGAAAGATACTCAAATTAAGCAATAAACCCAAAAGGGTCCTACAGCACTGCAGGGAGGGATGTGTAAAGGAGGAATATATAGAGGCTAGGAGGGAATGAAGGGGGCAGAAGTGTGCAAAGGGTAAGAGTATGTGGGGAATAGGAGAGAGTGCAATAAGTTAGTTACTGTTAAAAGATCAAAGAGTCTGCATCAAAGATGGGACTTTCAGCAAGGAGGTCAATTAGAGTAAGTGTGTTGGGGGTAGTGGAGACATCAGAAGTGAATTCTGCATGCCTACTGATAAACATGACAATCTATTAAGATATGGTGACCTGACACTGCAACCAGTCTTTGCAGAGCAATGATGGATGTTTTTCTACAAAGTATCTGTGAGTGAGGCAAGCATGGCTAATACATAGGTGAGAGAATACAGATTCCCAAACATAACAATGGTGAAAGGTAACAAAAGTAATTTAAGGAAGAGGGGAATTTTTCAAGATTACGTTGAACAATATTTTAGAGTTTTTTGGCAGTCTAATAAATCTGCCACATACAAAATGTACTCAAGCTAAGAATGCTGTACTACAGATGAAACACCCTACTTGAATATAATAGGTAACTGATTTATGATGTTCTGCATTTACAAACCTAGTACTCTGCAACAAATTAATTACTTACAAATGATGATCTGTAACTTTGATTATAAGGAACAAACAGGTTTCATTTTAAATACACAATTTTTCCTCATTTTTACCAAATACATTCATATTACACATTTAAAGAGAGAGGGGAGATTATTTACCAGTAAAAGTAGGCCTTAGACATGGATGTGTGAAGTCACCATGGTTGTTTAACAATTATAGATGGGGTTGTAAAAGAAGTGAATACTTGGGTGTTGAGATGTTTAAGATTAAAAGATAACAAATTAATTGCAAGGTGGAAGTCATCACAGTTGCTCTTGATTGATGACATTGTTCTTTTGGGATATTTTAATGAGAAATTGTAAAGATTGGTGAAGGAATTTAGGAAAGTATATAAAAGAAAGAAATTAAAAGTGAACATAGGAAAGAGCAAGGTGATGAGAGTAAATCAAATCAGGGAACGGGTGTAGATTGAACCCATGGCAAGTGAATCCTAAAACTAACTGGCCAGTGTGTTAACCACTCAGCCAGGTGGATCTAACAAGATTCATCCAAATAGGTATATTTCTATACACTATAGGGAGGTTAGCATAGGCCCTACTGTGACCACAAATAACAGGTTTTTGCAGATGAATCCCACACCAGCATGGCTGTGGCGTACTCTACCTCAAATCCCTTCAAAGAAGTCATCATGGCACTACAGATTTATACACCCTCCAAGTCATCCTATTTTGCTCCATCCTCTCTAAATGTCCAAACCACCTCAACAAGTTCTCAGTCTTCTGGGTAATACTTTTAGTAACCCCACACTACCTCCTAATCTACAAACTTTGGATTCTCTGTGTAATATTTACACCACACATTTTCCTCAGACACGACATCTCAACTGTATCCAGCCTCCTCCTCACTGCAACATTCACAACTGTGAATAAAACTACAAACAAAAATTACAATTAAAATGAAAACTGACCTTTTAACAGCCTACTAAAGTTTGACGTATTCAAACCTAATAAGCCCTGCCAGCAAGAATGCATATAGCACTAAACTGTTTTTACATTTCAATTTCTAACAAATTTTTATTTTAATGTTTTCTTTCAATGTATTTATGACCTTGCTAAGAAAAATGGAAAACACAATGAGGGGTTCTATCAAACAAGCAAGGAAAAAGTCCAACCCTCTCTCACTGACCAGTTATCAGAGATACCTGTCCTCTCATCAGGACTTTGCAGATCAGCTGTTCAGCAGTTAATCATCATATAGTTAAGAAATCACCCACTGTTACCTTCGTCAATACTTTATATGTAGTCAATGCTGTATATCCATACATAAATTATTGAAAGTAGCCCTTTATATATATATATATATTTTTTTTTTTAACAAGTCGGCCGTCTCCCACCGAGGCAGGGCGACCCAAAGAGAAAGAAACTCCCCAAAAAGAAAATACTTTCATCATCATTCAACACTTTCACCTCACTCACACATAATCACTGTTTTTGCAGAGGTGCCCAGAATACAACAGTTTAGAAGTATATACATATAAAAATACACAATACAGTGGACCCCCGCTTTACGATCACCTCCCAATGCGACCAATTATGTAAGTGTATTTATGTAAGTGCATTTGTATGTGTATGTTTGGGGGCCTGAAATGGACTAATCTAATTCACAATATTCCTTATGGGAACAAATTCCTTCAGTACCGGCACCTGAACATACTTCTGGAATGAAATAATATCGTAAACCGGGGGTCCACTGTATATCTCTCCAAAGTGCCAATATATATTTATATATTGTACTACATAAAAGATTAACTGTATTGTACTAAGTACAAAATAACTTGTTAATATTTTATCATCAGTGTCTTTCACAGATTAAAATATATCTGTTATACAATATAATTAGTAAATGGTGAGCAGCAACCTTAAACCAAGACAGCAATGCCTAAGTGTACGTAATAAGGCAAATAGATTACTGGGATTTATATCAAGAAGTGTAAGCAACAGAAGTCCAGAGGTCATACTGCAGCTTTATACATCATTAGTAAGGCCTCACCTAGATTATGCAGCTCAGTTCTGGTCTCCATATTACAGAATGGACATAAATTCGTTAGAAAACATTCAACGTAGGATGACTAAATTAATACATCGCATTAGAAATCTTCCTTATGAAGGAAGATTGAAGACTCTTAAGTTACATTCACTTGTTAGACGAAGAATGAGGGAAGACCTGATCGAAGTGTATAAGTGGAAGATAGGTATTAATAAAGGGGATATTAATAAGGTCTTGAGGATATCTCTCCAGGAGAGAACCCGCAGTAATGGATTTAAATTAGATAAGTTTAGATTTAGAAAGGACATAGGAAAGTATTGGTTTGGAAATAGGGTAGTTGATGAGTGGAACAGTCTACCTAGTTGGGTTATTGAGGCTAGGACTTTGGGTAGTTTCAAATTTAGGTTGGATAAGTACATGAGTGGGAGGGGTTGGATTTGAGTGGGACTTTCACATCAGAGCTTATTTCTTGGGTAGCATTGCAAATTGGGTTGGGCAAATGTTTTGTTAGTGGGATGAATTGTAAAGGACCTGCCTAGTATGGGCGAACAGGCCTGCTGCAGTGTTCCTCCTTTCTTATGTTCTTAATTCATAGTTAAAAATTATGCTTTATTATGAGTAAATCTTTCATAACAATTATTGCCCATGGGTGCCAGTCAATATTTTGAAATAAAATATCAAAGCTACAGTATTTATATTACAGGATCAGCAGAATCTTGAACTTGGGATTTAAATGTGCAAAAAACACACTGAATCCAAATCAACATGAGTAAATCATTTACTTTATAATTATTTATTTACATAAAATATTAAAAAAGTTACATTTTAACCATACAGTAATTACAAATGAATAAAATCAATGTCAAACTTTTTTTTTATCTTCTCCAGTCATTCAGATACAAAAAAAAAAATTGAGCAACCAACAACAGTAATTTTTCTACCCTAAATAATAATAACTTCCTGTATATTGTATTTTATAAAACACTACATACTAAAAAATATTACCAGTTTTCTAATGCGTTGTGTTTCTGTCTCTGGAGTAAAGTCAAATGACATGGGATGTGGCTGGCCATTAAGAGAAAGGACACCTCGGGAATCTCCAGCATTGGCTATGTACAGTTTACCGTGAATAAACAGAGCCACACAAGCAGTACATCCACCTAACAACTGGAACTTGTGCTTGTCCTCCCCAATAATCTGGTCCTGTGGAAATTATTCACTTATAAACCTTCACAGAAGTTTCTACAGCATTAGTAATAAGTATTCCAGCCAAGTTAACTTCATATACATATTTTTTGGGCAATTCAATGGATTGATTTAGTACCAAGCAAGAATTTTATTATAGTAAACTCCAAGCTGCAATCATAAATAAAGAACGGTTTTTAATTTCAGTTATGACAGCTGGTTAGTACATTTCAAACTGCTGGGTATGATCCACTATGTTCTAATTATTTTTTTTAAACACCCCAGTTGTCTCCTTACCAAGGAAGGCTTACTCACACACACACAAAAAAATACTCCTACCAAGGCAGGCTGACCCACAAATAAAAAGAAAATGCATTCATCATCACTCATTCAATATCTATCTTGCCAGAAGTGCTGACACACTACAAATAACCCTCTAAACTGCAATATCACCCTGTCCCAAAATTTCAGAGTGTAGCACAGTACTACTACCCACCACCAGGACTCAGGTCCTGCTAACCAGTTTCCTGTGAGTCCCCTCATCAATGTTACTGGGCTCATACTCCAACAGCACAAGCCATAAAAACAAGTCCTCACACAATTCTGGTAGATGTTCAATCCCTTAGCACTTAAAACTTTCTTTACCCCCCTCCCTCCAACCTTTACTTGGATGGCTCCTATTCCTTTCTTCCACCCCAAATTTACACATCCCTCTGTTATCCTATTCAGATTCATCCTCTCCAAATGCCCAAACCTGTTCCTAAAAAAACCCTCCTAAGCCCTTGGCAACCCCACACTTATTCCCTTAAAAGAATGATGCATAACATCTGTGTAACAGTACAGTTCTGCACATTATCATTGTTTTTATTATTATTATTATTACTGGGGAAAGTACCAAAAGAGGAAGGATCATACAGTTTTGGAAAAGAGATGTAATCAGATTTTATCTAAGAGAGGGCAAGGTAGTTTAAATTCCATGGATAAAGAGCTCTTCACTAGAATCAAGGCACCCCTTGACTGGACAATAAGCAGGGTTTAATATTTTCAAGCTGAACCAGCTACAAAACTGTATAACTGGTGGACAGATCTTGCAAGCCTGTAGACAAGATTCATTTGTTAGAAGAAATACTATCTGACACCCATAATGTCATGGGTGTTACGATACAAGTACTGTACAGAATTATTTTTTATATTTTATCACATCCCAGCTGAAAAATAATAAGACTAAATTTAGCAATAAAATAAAAAAGCACACTATGGAGGATTTTTTTTTTTTAAACTCTGACTTATTTGATACAGTATGAACAATTACAGTGGACTATATTGGTAACCAGATTAAACTTAATACTATACTGTACATCAACATGCTCTTGCCTACATAACTTATATGACAAGACAGAAGTACAGCATCCCTTGAGGGTTGCTACCCACCAAACTACTACACATACTTCTAGTATTATACTGGAATGGTATATATCCAAAAACAGTGATTATGTATGAATGATAGTGAAAGTGTTGAATGATAACGAAAGTTTTCTTTCTTTCTTTTTGGGTCACCCTGCCTTGGTGGGAAATGGTTGACGTGTTAAAAAAAATAAATTGAAATTATACACTGGATTTAGTAATCAACAAAAACTGACAAGTGGACAAAAGGGATACACCAACGGTACATGTAAACTGTATGGACCAGACTACACTTCTGTGAAGATTCAAGACATCAACAGAACCTGTACCCATAGATGATACTGTAGTGAAGACAACACCAGTAAATGTGGCTAATATTGAAGATTAAGTTGAAGAACCTTAATACAGTGATTGTATCCAAATTTAGGCATAGGTACTTACATTCCGGTTTCCAGATCCTGCAATAAATTCAGTTGCCTCACATTCTTACATTCAACATTATACAGCTGCATCATGATAAACTCATCATACACCAACCATTAATTTGAGTAGAGTAGTGCTACATGTATAAGTTGAAAGACAATGACTACAGCCATTAGGGAGCACAATACCTTTTGTATTTGTACTTTGTTTTCATACTTCCTCTAAATTTTTTTTGTTTTCTGTAGATTTCATTTGTTATTCTATTCTGGAGTTTTTTGAGTGCTAACTATCTCACATTATGAAAAGTCCACATTCACAGTGTGTGCATGTGCGCATGTGTGTGCATGTGCGTGTGTGTGCACGTGTGTGCATTTGTGCTTGCTTTACAACTACTGGAAATGTCACAACTGTTCATGACAAATTAAAACATTGGACACTAGAAGCATACTCTTATTCATGTAGCAATAAAAATACTGTAAACAGGTATCACATACATACCCGCCCTTCTAATTCCATGAGTAAATCAGTTGCCATTTCTCCCCCTGACTACTCTTTTCACTGGCAGCACTTATTTTCCAAAACCCCGTTATTTGTTAATCTTATCAACATCCACATTTTCTATTACAGGCAAAGAAGTATGTTAACAGCTGCAATCTGAAGTCATCATTAAATGACAAAGTTAGACAAGTATTTCTAAAAATAAAACAAAATAATGAAATGATTTACTAACCATTTGCCAAAAGGCATATTCTAGTGCTCCAGTTACTGCATTTTCCACAGTCACTTCTTTTTCAGGTGCCCACAGAGGAGACTGTACCTTAAAACTGTTGTCTTCAAATGGGTCAGGAATCAAAATATCGATAACATCACACAGTTTCTCCTGTATGAATTAGCTACAATTAGCATACAATGTACTTCTGCATATTAAATGTTATTTCTTTACCTATATATATTCAACCATCTATTAAATCAGCACTTCTGAATTCTGCCTGGCTTCATGCACACATTTTCATTTCTCTACACTACCATTAATTACCTTGGATTTTCAAAAGCCAAATTCTCAAACATGAGCCAAAATTTCAACTATTCTACATACTATGAATACATATCTTATTTTCTGACAAAACGGTCAACTGCCCACTGATGCCTATAAACCATTTACTGTATTCCTATTATGCATAAAGCTTGATTACTCGGTGGGAGACGGCCGACTTGTTGAAAAAAAAAAATTTATATTTTTTTTTTTTTTTTTTTTTTTCAACAAGTCGGCCGTCTCCCACCGAGGCAGGGTGACCCAAAAAAGAAAGAAAATCCCCAAAAAGAAAATACTTTCATCATCATTCAACACTTTCACCACACTCGCACATTATCACTGTTTTTGCAGAGGTGCTCAGAATACAACAGTCTAGAAGCATACACATATAAAGATACACAACATATCCCTCCAAACTGCCAATATCCCAAACCCCTCCTTTAAAGTGCAGGCATTGTACTTCCCATTTCCAGGACTCAAGTCCGACTATATGAAAATAACCGGTTTCCCTGAATCCCTTCACTAAATATTACCCTGCTCACACTCCAACAGATCGTCAGGTCCCAAGTACCATTCGTCTCCATTCACTCCTATCTAACACGCTCACGCACGCTTGCTGGAAGTCCAAGCCCCTTACCCACAAAACCTCCTTTACCCCCTCTCTCCAACCCTTTCGAGGACGACCCCTACCCCGCCTTCCTTCCCCTATAGATTTATATGCTTTCCATGTCATTCTACTTTGATCCATTCTCTCTAAATGACCAAACCACCTCAACAACCCCTCTTCTGCCCTCTGACTAATACTTTTATTAACTCCACACCTTCTCCTAATTTCCACACTCCGAATTTTCTGCATAATATTTACACCACACATTGCCCTTAAACAGGACATCTCCACTGCCTCCAACCGTCTCCTCGCTGCTGCATTTACCACCCAAGCTTTACACCCATATAAGAGTGTTGGTACTACTATACTTTCATACATTCCCTTCTTTGCCTCCATAGATAACGTTTTTTGACTCCACATATACCTTCAACGCACCACTCACCTTTTTTCCCTCATCAATTCTATGATTAACCTCATCCTTCATAAATCCATCCGCCGACACGTCAACTCCCAAGTATCTGAAACATTCACTTCTTCCATACTCCTCCTCCCCAATTTGATATCCAATTTTTCTTTATCTAAATCATTTGACACCCTCATCACCTTACTCTTTTCTATGTTCACTTTCAACTTTCTACCTTTACACACATTCCCAAACTCATCCACTAACCTTTGCAATTTTTCTTTAGAATCTCCCATAAGCACAGTATCATCAGCAAAAAGTAACTGTGTCAATTCCCATTTTGAATTTGATTCCCCATAATTTTAATCCCACCCCTCTCCCAAACACCCTAGCATTTACTTCCTTAACAACCCCATTATAAATATATTAAACAACCATGGTGACATTACACATCCCTGTCTAAGACCTACTTTTACCGGGAAATAGTCTCCCTCTCTTCTACACACCCTAACCTGAGCCTCACTATCTTCATAAAAACTCTTTACAGCATTTAATAACTTACCACCTATTCCATATACTTGCAACATCTGCCACATTGCTCCTCTATCCACTCTATCATATGCCTTTTCTAAATCCATAAATGCAATAAAAACTTCCCTACCTTTATCTAAATACTGTTCACATATATGCTTCAATGTAAACACTTGATCTACACATCCCTACCCACTCTGAAACCTCCTTGCTCATCCGCAATCCTACATTCTGTCTTACCTCTAATTCTTTCAATTATAACCCTACCGTACACTTTTCCTGGTATACTCAGTAAGCTTATTCCTCTATAATTTTTACAGTCTCTTTTGTCCCCTTTCCCTTTATATAAAGGGACTATACATGCTCTCCGCCAATCCCCAGGTACCTTCCCCTCTTTCATACATTTATTGAACAAAAGTACCAACCACTCCAACACTATATCCCCCCCTGCTTTTAACATTTCTGTCATGATCCCATCAGTACCAGCTGCTTTACCCCCTTTCATTTTACGTAATGCCTCACGTACCTCCCCACACTTACATTCTGCTCTTCTTCACTCCTAAAAGATGGTATACCTCCCTGACCAGTGCATGAAATTACTGCCTCTGTTTCTTCCTTAACATTTAAAAGTTCCTCAAAATATTCTCGCCATCTACCTAATACCTCCATCTCCCCATCTACTAACTCCCCTACTCTGTTTTTAACTGACAAATCCATATTTTCCCTTGGCTTTCTTAATTGTTTAACTCACTCCAAATTTTTTCTTATTTCATTAAAATTTCTTGACAGTGCCTCTCCCACTCTATCATCTGCTCTCCTTTTGCACTCTCTCACCACTCTCTTTACCTTTCTTTTACTCTCCATATATTCTGCTCTTCTTATAACACTTCTGCTTTGTAAAAACCTCTCATAAGCTACCTTTTTCTCTTTTATCATCACCCTTTACTTCATCATTCCACCAATCACTCCTCTTTCCTCCTGCACCCACCCTCCTATAACCACAAACTTCTGCCCCACATTCTAATATCTGCATTTTTAAAACTATTCCAACCCTCTTCAACCCCCCCATTATCATCTTTGCACTATCCCACCTTTCTGCCAATAGTCGCTTATATCTCGCCCGAACTTCCTCCTCCCTTAGTTTATACACTTTCACTTCCCTCTTACTTGTTGTTGCCACCTTCCTCTTTTCCCATCTACCTCTTACTCTAACTGTAGCTACAACTAAATAATGATCCGATATATCAGTTGCCCCTCATAAACATGTACATCCTGGAGCCTACCCATCAACCTTTTATCCACCAATACATAATCTAATAAACTACTTTCATTACGTGCTACATCATACCTTGTATATTTATTTATCCTCTTTTTCATAAAATATGTATTACTTATTACCAAATTTCTTTCTACACATAGCTCAATTAAAGGCTCCCCATTTACATTTACCCCTGGCACCCCAAATTTACCTAACTACTCCCTCCATAACATTTTTACCCACTTTAGCATTGAAATCCCCAACCACCATTACTCTCACACTTGATTCAAAACTCCCCACGCATTCACTCAACATTTCCCAAAATCTCTCTCTCTCCTCTACACTTCTCTCTTCTCCAGGTGCATACACGCTTATTATAACCCACTTTTCACATCCAATCTTTATTTTACTCCACATAATCCTTGAATTAATACATTTATAGTCCCTCTTTTCCTGCCATAGCTTATCCTTCAACATTATTCCTACTCCTTCTTTAGCTCTAACTCTATTTGAAACCCCTGACCTAATCCCATTTATTCCTCTCCATTGAAACTCTCCCCCCCCCCTTCAGCTTTGTTTCACTTAAAGCCAGGACATCCAGCTTCTTCTCATTCATAACATCCACAATCATCTCTTTCTTATCATCTGCACAACATCCACGCACATTCAGACTTCCCACTTTGACAATTTTCTTCTTCTTATTCTTTTTAGTAATCTTTACAGGAAAAGGGGTTACTAGCCCATTGTTCCCCCGGCATTTTAGTTGACTTTTACAACACGCATGGCTTACGGAGGAAAGATTCTTATTCCACTTCCCCATGGATATAAAAGAAAATTAATATATATATAATATATATATATAATAAATATATATATATAATATATATTAATATATATATATATATATATAATATATATATATATATATATATATATATATTTATATATATATATATATAATATTATATATATATATAATATATATATATAATATAATATAGTAGGTTGGTAGACAGCAACCACCCAGGGAGGTATTACCGTCCTGCTAAGTGAGTGTAAAGCAAAAGCCTGTAATTGTTTTACATGATGGTAGGATTGCTGGTGTCTTTTGTCTGTCTCATAAATATGCAAGATTACAGGTACGTCTTGCTACTTCTACTTACACTTAGGTCACACTATACATACATGTACACGTTTATTTATACACACTCATCTGAGTTTTCTTTGATTTTATCTTAATAGTTCTTGGTCTTATTACTTTTCCTTTTATATCCATGGGGAAGTGGAATAAGAATCTTTCCTCCGTAAGCCATGCGTGTTTGTAAAGTCAACTAAAATGCCGGGAACAATGGGCTAGTAACCCCTTTTCCTGTAAAGATTACTAAAAAGAATAAGAAGAAGAAAATTGTCAAAGTGGAAAGTCTGAATGTGCGTGGATGTTGTGCAAATGATAAGAAAGAGATGATTGTGGATGTTATGAATGAGAAGAAACTGGATGTCCTGGCTTTAAGTGAAACAAAGCTGAAGGGGTGGGAGAGTTTCAATGGAGAGGAATAAATGGGATTAGGTCAGGGGTTTCAAATAGAGTTAGAGCTAAAGAAGGAGTAGCAATAATGTTGAAGGATAAGCTATGGCAGGAAAAGAGGACTACAAATGTATAAATTCAAGGGTTATGTGGAGTAAAATAAAGATTGGATGTGAAAAGTGGATTATAGTAAGTGTGTATGCACCTGGAGAAGAGAGAAGTGTAAGAGGAGAGAGAGAGATTCTGGGAAATGTTGAGTGAATGCGTGGGAAGTTTTGAATCAAGTGTGAGAGTAATGGTGGTTGGGGATTTCAATGCTAAAGTGGGTAAAAATATTATGGAGGGAGTAGTAGGTAAATTTGGGGTGCCGGGGGTAAATGTAAATGGGGAGTTTTTAATTGAGCTTGTGAGAAAGAAATTTGGTAAAAGTAATACATATTTTTGAAAAAAGGTAAATAAATATAAAAGGTATATGTAGCACGTAATGAAAGTAGTTTTTTTTAAATTTTTGTTTGGTGGAAAAAGGTTGATGGGTAGGTTCCAGGATGTCATGTTTATAGGGGGCAACTGATTACGGATCATTATTTTTGTTTTAGCTACGTTAGAGTAAGAGGTAGATGGGAAAAGGGAAAGGTGGCAACAACAAGTAAAGGGGGTGAAAGTTATAACTAAGGGGGGAGGAAATTGGGGGATATAAGCACTTTGGCGAAAAGGGGGGCAGTGCAAAGATGAGTAGGGGGGGGGTTTAAGAGGGGTTTGGGAAAGTTTTTAAAAAAGCAGTTTAGAAGTGGGGCAGAAGTTTTTGGTTATAGGGGGTGGGGGAGGGGAAAGGGAGTGTTGGGGGAAAGTGAAGTAAAGGGTGTGATAAAAGAGAAAAAAAAGGGTTCAGGGTTTTTACAAAAGCAAAGTGTTATAAGAAGGCGGTGTTATGGGGGTAAAAGAAAGGTGAAGAGGGGGTGAGAGATGAAAAAAGGGAGCAGATGAAAAGTGGGAAAGGCACTGTCAAAATTTTAATGAATAGAAAAAAAATTTTTGGGGTGGTTAAACAAGTTAAGAAAGCCTGGGAAAATTGGATTTGTCCGTTTTAAAAAAAAGTAGGGATTGTAGATGGGGGGATGGAGGTATTGGTGATGGCGAAAATTTTTGAGGTTTTTTTAAAAAGTTGGAAGAAAAGGGGGGCGGTTTTTTTCATGCCTGGCCGGGGGGTATCATTTTTTTGGGTGAAGAAAGCAGAAAGTAAGTGGGTGGGGTCTGGGCATTACGTGAAAAAGGGGTAAAAAGAGCTGTAACGAAGGGGTCATGCAGAAATTTTTAAAGCGGGGGGGGATAAGTGTTGGAGTGGTTGGTTTTTTTTGTTTTAAAAAATTATGAAAGAGGGGAAGGTCCTAGGGATTGGGGGAGAGCATGTATAGCCCCTTTATTAAAGGGGAAAGGGGAAAAAAAGAGATTGTAAAAATTTAGAGGAATGTTTCTGAGTATCCCGGAAAAAGTATACGGTAGAGTTAAAATTTGAAAAAATTTAGGGGTTAAGAAAAATGTAGACTGCGGATGAAAAGGAGGCTTCAGGGGGGTAGGGGATGTGAGATCAAGTTTTTCATTGAAGCATATATGTGAACAGTATTTAGATAAGGGGGAAGTTTTTTTTATTTATGGATTTAGAAAAGGCATATGTAGAGTGGATAGAGGAGCAAGTGGAATTTGCAAGTATATGGAATAGGTGGTAATTACTAAAGCTGTAAAGGGCTTTTATGGGGAATTTAGGCTCAGGTTGGGTGTGTAAAAGGAGGGGAAAAATTACTTCCGGTAAAAGTTTCTTAGACAGGGATGTGTAATGTCACCATGGTTTTTTAATATATTTATAGATGGGGTTTTAAAAGAAGTAAATGCTAGGGGGTTCGGGGGAGGGGGGGATTAAATTATGGGGAATCAAATTTAAAAAGGGAATTGAAAAGTTACTTTTTGCTGAGATACTGTGCTTATGGGAGATTCTAAAGAAAAACTGCAAAGGTTAGTGGATGAGTTTGAGAATGTTGTAAAGGTAGAAAGCTGAAAGTGAACATAGAAAAGAGTAAGGTGATGAGGGTCTCAAATGATTTAGATAAAGAAAAATTGGATATCAAATTGGGGAGGAGGAGTATGGAAAGAAGTGAATGTTTTCAGATACTTGGGAGTTGACGTGTCGGCGGATGGATTTATGAAGGTGAGGTTAATCATAGAATTGATGAGGGAAAAAAGGTGAGTGGTGCATTGAGGTATATGTGGAGTCAAAAAACGTTATCTATGGAGGCAAAGAAGGGAATGTATGAAAGTATAGTAGTACCAACACTCTTATATGGATGTGAAGCTTGGGTGGTAAATGCAGCAGCGAGGAGACGGTTGGAGGCAGTGGAGATGTCCTGTCTAAGGGCAATGTGTGGTGTAAATATTATGCAGAAATTCGGAGTGTGGAAATTAGGAGAAGGTGTGGAGTTAATAAAAGCATTAGTCAGAGGGCAGAAGAGGGGTTGTTGAGGTGGTTTGGTTATTTAGAGAGAATGGATCAAAGTAGAATGACATGGAAAGCATATAAATCTATAGGGGAAGGAAAGAGGGGTAGGGGTTGTCCTCGATAGGGTTGGAAAGAGGGGGTAAAGGAGGTTTTGTGGGCGAGGGGCTTGGACTTCCAGCAAGCGTGCATGAGCCTGTTAGATAGGAGTGAATGGAGACGAATGATACTTGGGACCTGATGATCTGTTGGAGTGTGAGCAGGATAATATTTAGTGAAGGGATTCAGGGAAACCGGTTATTTTCATATAGTCGGACTTGAGTCCTGGAAATGGGAAGTACAATGCCTGCACTTTAAAGGAGGGGTTTGGGATATTGGCAGTTTGGAAGGATATGTTGTGTATCTTTATACGTATATGCTTGTAAACTGTTGTATTCTGAGCACCTCTGCAAAATCAGTGATAATGTGTGTGTGGTGAAAGTGTTGAATGATGATGAAAGTATTTTCTTTTTGGCGATTTTCTTTCTTTTTTGGGTCACCCTGCCTCGGTGGGAGACGGCCGACTTGTTGAAAAAAAAAAATTATAATATATATATATATATATATATATGTATTTTTTTTTTTTTTTTTTCAACAAGTTGGTCGTCTCCCACCGAGGCAGGTTGACCCAGAAAAGAAAGAAAATCGCCAAAAAGAAAATACTTTCATCATCATTCAACACTTTCACCACACTCACACATTATCACTGCTTTTGCAGAGGTGCTCAGAATACAACAGTTTAGAAGCATATACGTATAAAGATACACAACATATCCCTCCAAACTGCCAATATCCCAAACCCCTCCTTTAAAGTGCAGGCATTGTACTTCCCATTTCCAGGACTCAAGTCCGACTATATGAAAATAACCAGTTTCCCTGAATCCCTTCACTAAATATTACCCTGCTCACACTCCAACAGATCGTCAGGTCCCAAGTATCATTCGTCTCCATTTACTCCTATCTAACACGCTCATGCACGCTTGCTGGAAGTCTCCCACCGAGGCAGGGTGACCCAAAAAAGAAAGAAAATCCCCAAAAAGAAAATACTTTCATCATCATTCAACACTTTCACCACACTCACACATTATCACTGCTTTTGCAGTGATAATATATAATTATATATAATTATATATAATTATATTCTCCATGGGGAAGTGGAACAGAATTCTTCCTCCGTAAGCCATGCGTGTTGTAAGAGGCGACTAAAATGCCGGGAGCAAGGGCCTAGTAACCCCTTCTCCTGTGTATATTACTAAATTTGAAAGGAGAAACTTTTGTTTTCCTTTTGGGCCACCCCGCCTCGGTGGGATACGGCCGGTGTGTTGAAAGAAAGAATATAATTATATATATAACATATAATTATAATTATAATTATAAACATTACATAACCTTGGCATACTTCTACTTTACTATCAGTGTAGTTACTCAGTGCCCCACTACCAGTAACTCGTGCATGATCTGCTATCAGCTTTTTATTCTGCATTTAATATTCCTCCAATTTCATACAAACTCAACGTCTTCCACAGTGCTTCTCTATTTACTTTCACTCACTCTTTCACACATGTACCAGGAGCTGTGACTCGACCCCTGTAATCACATACATAGGTGAGTGTGGGTGCGTGCAAAATGCGATCGAACAAATTAAACCAAAATTCACCTTGCAATAATGTTGGTAGAATTACCGACAATATGTAAAGTAAAAGGACACAAGTGCAACTAATGTGACATTTTATTGTGGCAACGTTTCGCTCTCCAGGAGCTTTGTCAAGCCGTCCTTTTAAAAATTCACCTTGATTATTTAAAAAATTATTTTTTCTCTTCCTGTGCCATTTTAATCACTAATTGCACATTTTACCCAAAACTTCAGTCCACTATCTATGAAGCATTAGAAATACTCTGGCATAGTGCCACCTTGATATATCATTCATGATCATTCTATTTATTTTTTTTTAAACACACTGGCCATTTCCCACCAAGGCAGGATGACCCAAAATGAAAGATGTAACTTTCATCATTCAACTTTCACCATCACTCATACATAATCACTGGCTTTGAAGAGGCACTCCAATACGACGGTTAAGAAGTCATTCTTGCCCAAAAAAGGCACAATATGGTGACTCGAACAATACACAAATAAAATGCACACAGGAGAAAGAAATTTATGACAATGTTTCCATCCAACTGGAACCAAAAACAATGTCATAAGTTTCTTTCTCATATGTGCAGGTTATTTGTGTAATGTGGGGGTAGGATTGCAACTAGTGCAGAAATTTTTAACTCACATGGATAAGGTGATGAAGCTGATTTGCTGCTGCCACAGCTGCTCCCCAACCAGCATGCCCATCAAATACACCAAACAGGTAATAAGGAAGGGATACTGATGAAACTAAAGGTTGCTGCAATGTGGACGGTTGGCTTGGCAGTGGCTTGGATGAATGACTAGGTGTTTCTTCTAACGGATGATGTATTACTGTATTTTGTTCAATGGCTATTCTGGATAGTTTTTTATTGCTTCTTTCCTTACGAAAGCTGCTGGCAGAATGATTAAAATCTTCTTTTAACTCTGTTGCGGGACTGGCAGACAAAGTTGATCCCTGAGGTGATAACACAACAGTATGTTCTTGTACTTCTGGTTGTAACTGATCTGCATCACCATAACCATTTATCACTGATTCAGGTTTGTTAAAAGTACGCTTGTCTTGAGAGGTATACGTCCGGGAACTGGCTGCTATCTTAATAGGTCGTGTGAGAAGGCCAACTTGAACAACAGCTTGGTCCTCATTTCTTTTTGACTTCCCTGCATTAATGGTTCTGAAAACAAAGAAAATAATCTGAGGTAACATTGCCATTTATACAATAATCCTATTAACATATTTGTGACTCTAGTAATTTGAAATGGGGTGGGCTATGCAAATACGGCTCTCAATGTAATTTTGTGCTCTCAACCTAAACAAGTGAGATTAGAATGAACATTTAGTGAATTTGATAAACTGCTTCTACTCATTTTTGTAACACATTGGCCACTTCCAATTTAGAAAGAGAAAACAACACATTCACCATCACTCATTCTCTACTTGTCTTTCCCGAAGTGCAATGAAATCACAGTTCAAATGACCCAACAAATGAAGAATTAAACACATGTGCAACATCTGGGTATCTTTATTTGTAGACGTTTCACCAACCAATGGCTTTATCAATACAATACAAGGACATAATCTGGAGAATGTAGAATTATATACAGAAGATGAGGTAATCAGTCCCTCAGCTCTTCACCAACTCCAAGGCTGAGGGACTGATTACTTCATTTTGTGTATATATAACTCTACATTCTTCAGATTATGTCCATGTACTGATAAAGCCACTGGTTGGTGAAACATCTACAAATAAACATACCCAGATGTTGCACACATGTCTAATTCTTCATCTCACTGGTATTGTATACCATTTATGTACGACCCAACAGACCCCAACACACTCAACTATCATTAAAAGTGCAGGCATTATTGCCCATTTCCATAACTCAAACTCATCTAGCCAGTTTCCTTCAATCCCTTCATAGATGTTACCTTCTTACACTCCAACAGCATATCAAATCCCAAAAGCCACTTGTCTTCACTTACTCCAGTCTAACATACTCCCAACCTAACATGCTCATGCCAGATGCTTGAGCCCCTATAACTTAAAACTGCCTCCACACTCACCTTCTAATCCATTCTGGAATGTTTCCTACTCCTTTTTCCAGTCCATCCTGGAATGTTTCCTATTCCTATTTCCAATCCATCCTGTAATGTTCCCTACTCTTCTGTCCAATCCAGCCAGGAATATCCCCTACTCCTTAAATTAAATTAAATTAAAAATTAAAATTAAACTCAGAAAAGATCTCTTATGGACCATACAAATTAGTTACATCAGTTTTACATACAAATTGATTGTATTTTGAATTTGATCTTCTTATGATACAGAGGAGGGCTAGGGGTCATCCTAGAAAAGGATTTAGGGTGGGGGTAAAAGAGGTTTTGTGTGCAAGGGGCTTGGACATGCAACAGGCATGTGTGAGCATGTTAGATAGGAGTGAATGGGGACGAATGGTTTTAGGGACTTAACAAGCTGTTGGAGTGTAAGCAGGGTAATATTTTGTAGAGGGATTCAGGGAAACCAGTTAGCTGGACTTGAGTCCTGGAGGTGGGAAGTACAATGCTTGCACTTTAAAGGAGGAGTTTGGGATATTGGCTGTTTGGAGTGAAATCTAAAGTGTCATGTCTGGGCACCTCTTCAAAGACAGTGATGTGTGAATGATGGTGAAAGTGTTAAATAATGGTGAAAGTGTTTCTTTTTTGGGTCATCCTGCCTCGGTGAGAGATGATTGATGAATTGACTACAGTATATAAGCCACTGCTACGGCCCTCTGCTGTACTTTCTACAAGATTGATGGACTGAACACATCAACTCCAGGCTGAGGGACTGATTACCTCAAACTTCTCCTCTCCTTATACCTTATTGCTTTGTATAAGACTGATGAAGCCACTGTGTGGCGAAACATTTCTTCAATAAAGATTCCCATATGTTGCATAAGTGTCTCAATTCTTCAACTTGTCGGTTTTCAAAACCATTCATCATAAAAATGCATCTAATAAGCATATTATTCAGTCAGTCAAGTTAGGCACCAAGTCCAGCCAATAACTAAATAGATCACCATATGGCCAGTTTCATCCTTGGCTAGGATTGCTTTGTTAAGACAAGATTTCTATCTTCAGCAACACCCATACTGTATCCATCCCTTGTATTCACCAGTTCTTTTTTACATATTGTATAACAGAGTGCAAGGAAATTCTATCTCGATAAAGTTTTCCTCCACTTATTTCTCCAGCAACTTCCTAACCCCTTATCATCCTACCTCAGTCATCCTCAAGTTTTATCAATCCTTTTAACACTAATTTTAGCATTAACTAAATGGTGACACTGATGCTTTCTTCACTGCGAAAAATATCTCCTGGCTCAGAAATTAGTCATACATGACCTGCTCAATGAAACTTTGGCCCCATTATGGAACCAAGACCAACCTCTGACTTACCAGTTCTCTGAAAAAAAATTAAGGTATCACATGATACACTGTGTACAGAAATACCTGTGTCACTAGATGATGTTTTCTAGTATATCATGGATCATCTTTTTCTAATTTATGAGGTTTTTTATTAGTCAAGAATTGGGTGAAAGTAACAGATTGCAAGTAATCTCAAAACATTCTCTCCTTTCAACAGTAACTTGTAGTGTCTCACAGGAAGTAGTGTTGGGTGAGAGCTGACAGTGTTGTGTGGCTGAAAACAGAAGAGCCCCGCTTATACAGCAGGTTAGGTTCCAGGCTACTGCTGTAAAGCAAAAATTACTGTAAAGTGAAACATAGCCTTTTCTCACTTTCAAATTAATATAAAAGACTGTTAACATGTTTACACTATCATATATTAAGCAATAGAACTAGGCCTAAAAAATATACAGTACATACATTACTTATGTTAAAATATTTTCATACTTAGCTTATAGTGAGTGGTGAATGTATTTATTGTAGGAACCCTGAATAAATGAAGAATGGGTATAATTGAAAATTGCTGTATTAGTGCAACACTGTAAAGCAGGGCCTGCCTGTTCTCAATCAGTAATGCTACCAATATGTCAGTAATAGATTCTAGATTCCAAGGTACTGGAGTTCAGCCTCTGTATAAAGTGTGGAGAGGAGACCAACATGAAAGACAGAGTGAGGGATAGTATCATACATAGAGCTAGTAATCAGTGAGTAGGTTGTGTTTCTGACAAACATGTGAAGCAAAACTGGCAAGTGGTAATGCTGTTAATTAACACCCCGATGAAGTGACTTGGCTGATAACAAAGAGAAGACAATGACATATATTTGGAGTGATAAAGTGCTATGAAGTTTGACCAGGAACACAGTAATGAGTATTATGGTGAAAGTGTGGTGATGGATACATATTCAGTGACATAAAGCATGTTCTATGCTTGTGGCAATGTATATGTATTACTATACACACTGCTTTACTATACATACTGCATTACTATACACACTGCATTACTATACACACTGCATTACTATACACACTGCATTACTATACACACTGCATTACTATACACACTGCATTACTATACACACTGCATTACTATACACACTGCATTACTATACACACTGCATTACTATACACACTGCATTACTATACACACAGCATTACTATACACCTCACTTGCAAATTACCATTAACTGTTAAAATGCTTATTAAGTACATAGATAAATGACCATATGGAAAACTGGGTGCTAGATAAACTAAATAATTAATGGTCTTCAACTTAAGCTTAGGGAGGCATTCAGCTATGTTAGAGATTAGGGATGGGATGATTCCACAATTTTGGCAGATACTAATACTACTCAAATTTAGACCAATGCCAATACTTGTTTCACAGTTTTTTTAATATACAATAACTATGTTCAATATGTAATAAAATGCTTACTGCTCAACAGGTCTTAAATAACCAGGGGAGGGGTAAATATTACATAACTCAATTTCTGTGAGATACCAATGTCATCGCTCATTACTAATTAAAGGTACCTCCTTTTGGCAATACCACTGCCATATATTTGTTTATTTCTATTTTTATGTTTGTGGTAACACAAATACCAGCACATTCATTTTTGGATGCTGCTTGTTTGTAATTTGGAAAAGGATCCAGAGGCAGACGTCTGTGACACATTGTTATTAGGAATGTCAGCTACAATTTCTTCATAACATTCCTCATTATCAAACTCAACAAGAACTTCTATCCTGTCTGTCTTCATCACTTATTGCTGCTTGATGCTGTAGCAAACCAGTTCCTGAGTTGTCTCCTGAGTTTATTTCAGTTCATTCTCAGTACAGTAATCTCTCCATATAATGGACTTTTAAAATAATGGCCAACATTCACTGAGTATATTATACAGAAAACCCTCCATATAACAAACTAACTGGGGAAAGCAGGTGGCCAATAATGGTAAGTGTGGTGGATAAAAAAAAGACCTGCTAATTTCATCCACTTTACATTTAAGAAAATGTTTAAACTTATGAATGACTTTCTGCATTGTTAAATGAAGGCATTCTGTATACTTGTAAATATCATCACTTACTCAGCATATCCACTTTTCCATGGTAATCTGGAAATGTCACGAGGACATATAATTGGTCTGATGGCATGGTCAGCAGTCACCTGAATCTCATCTTCAGAACCAAGCTGCAAGAAGTGGGGACGTGTGTATGGAAATCGTAAGCTCTGAAAGTGGACAATGAGCAACAAAGTTAAAACAAAATCATCATTGATACAATCAGTATAAATACTATAGATCTGCAGGCCTGTATGCAAAGAAATACCAATGTGAAAAAGACATGCATTCAAGATTTCTTTTCAATTCTTTTAAGTGCACAAAAAAAAAAATGGAGGTATTAACCCTTTCACTTTCACTGTTTCTTATGTAGATGTACATAGATCTACACTTTAAGCACAGCTCCCTCAAATATGCTGTGAATGGTAAATTCTGACCTAGACATGAGAGAATGAGTTTGTGTGGTAAGCATGCACACTACTTTATGAAAAAAATCCTGCCTCATGCAGTGCATGATGGGAAAAACAAACCTCTGACCTTGTGTTTGGTTTAAAATAGCAACTCTAAGGTGTTTTCAAGGATTAGTTTTTATTGGCTGTTTCTTGGTATCTTTTGATAGAATGGAAGACACTACCATTGGTTGGTTGGTTTTAGAGCCAGAAGTAGCTTGAAATTGGGCTCAAATTAGAAGACATAATAAATTGTTTATTTTTCATATGGGTAAGACCCTCCTACCCTCCCCTCCCTCCCAGTTTGTTTTACAAGTTTTTACTAAGTCTGCTTCAATAATTGGGTCTCCCTTAACCATGACCAATCATGCTTCGTCCTATTATCCGAGAAACAGTAAAATTTGTTGTGTGATGAATTCAAAATAGAGAGCACGAGTAATAAAGGAGAGGCCTGGGGATGTGATTAATGAATAGACGAAATGTTGCTTTAGAGGATGGAATGTCTAGCGTTTATTTTGGACTCTTTAAAATGGGATTTTTTTTTTAAACTGGCCAAATTACCTACATCTATGAACTTTATAGAGTAGTTCTGATAGATGATTGAGCAGTTTCTTGTGCTTATTTGATAGAACAGAAGGGATACTAGCTTAATAGCTAAGAATGTGGCCAAATTGAGCAATGGAATTGGCTTAAAATAGTACCGAAAGTGGACAAGCTCGCCCGTGTGTAAATTTTGCCAGGACCTCTGTAATTCCACAAATTTTCTATCATCTCATAATTTTGATGCCATTACATTTAGGAAAAGATTGTCTACCATTTCAAATCTTATTTTTTTAGTTCCTCAACACTGTGAGCACTCTTAACCCTTCCTGTGGCTGTCATGGAGAGCTACATCATTGAAGCCAGGGTCCCTCCCATATTTCTACGTGATGAGCTCAGCTCGCTCAGATAAGCTGTGAGCAGTAAATTTTGGCCTAGATATGAGAGAATGGGTCTGTGCAGCAATTGTGCACAGTATTAAAAAATCCTGCCCCACACTCAATTACTGGGACACTGTAAACCATGACCAATCATTCCTGGTTATATTTTATTATCCAAGAAATAAAGCAAATCTTCTATTTTTGTATAATTATGACTTCAAAATGGAATGAAAATTAAATACCGAAGACGCCTAGGGGCATGACTAATGAACAGAGGAAATGTTTTGGTGCCAGGACAGTCTACATTGTTTATTTAGGACTACATATTTTTAAACTGGTATTTTCTTTAATTTTGTGTAAAATTGGCCAAATTACTGACTTCTGTATACTTTATAGGCAATTTAAATTAGTTGAACGGGAGGTGCTCAGTCAATAGAATGGAAGCATACTAGCGACATAGCTTAGAATTTAGTCAAAGCTGGCAAAATTGCTGATGCTTAAACTGCGCGAAGAATGCTTACTTTTCACCAGGGTACTTCTGTAGTTCTCAATCGGATTTCATACTTTTGCTGTCATTACATTCAGAAAAGATTCTCTACCATTTCAGAAAAAGGATTTCTTTTTTTTATAGGACACTGAAACCAATATTAACTTAGGGGGGTCTGGATAGTGAAAGGGTTAATTTTGGGGCTTCTGACAGTGTAGGGGTTAAAATAAAACAATACTTATGTGTAAAAATACTATCATAACAATAAACTAATTAGCTATATAATAAACATGACATGCTAGCTAAGTTAGACTAATTCATTCATATAGTTTAATTTCATGGCTCACAAATCATAAGATACACAGCATGCTATAAACACAAACTCTGTGAGCCGTATTTTATAAATTCTGGTTTCAATTTCAAATAAAAATTCCTACTTCAGTTAAAAATACATATGGTACTTATGGGTTAAATGACTACATTCATTAGTACAGTAAACTAATACTGTGCCACTGAATATGCACTGTCACATCCAATGTAGATTATTCCTTTTTCCACTTGAAAAAAAGTAAACTCATGATAAATATTAACTACAATTTAATAAGCAATGTTAAACAATAAACATAAAACTAAATCATAGTCGTGTTATTATTACAACACTATCAGTCATTACTGTCACAATCAATGTAAAAAACTCCCTTCTTGTGTACATAAGAAATGGTACCTGTAATTTTGCATCCAATAACAATACTGTACTTAATGTCCTTAATTGCTGTTTCAGTCACTGCAAGGTTATCCTATATTTTTCTACTTAAGTTTAGTACTCTACTTTTTAAAATTATTTTGAAAATCAACTTGAACAGGTTTATTTCCAGTAAATATAGTATACAACTGTTATAGGAATAGGTAACAAGTCATACAGATTTAGTGGAAAGCAACTGGTTATGCAGAACATTTTGGGTAGCCTTAAAAATAGCTTAAAATTCCAGAATAATGATCTGCTGCACTGGATTGTTAGAATTTTATGTTATACAGTTTATTATATTTTAACATTCTATGTAACACATTAGTACAGCATAATTATTATTATTATTATTATTATTATTATTATTATTATTATAATCAAAGAAAGCACTAAACTGACGAGGGTCATGCAGCGCTGCGGGGCAGAAAATAGAGCCGGGGCTATAAACAGCTAGGTGAAGAGGGGATCAGAGATGAGGGGAGAAAAGGGCTGCAAGAAATGCTAAGGGTTATGTGTCGAAGTTCGTACAGTAAAGCAGTTGTTGACAAAAAGTCAAAAAGTGATTGTAAATCAAAGCCAGGGCTGTCTGCAAGAAATAAAGATAAGGTAAGAGCGGTAGGGTGGTGGCGTAGTTGGAGGTAAATCCTGCGAGCTTGCTGGTAAACCGAGCAATCCACAAGAAAGTGAGGAACCGAAATAGGGACCTGACAAACCTCACAGAAAGGAATAGGGTGCTGTTCCATGAGATACCCATGGGTAAGGCGGGTATGGTCGATGCAGAGACAGGAGAGCACAGTCTCCCAAGTATGGCAACAGTGGTAAGAAAGTGGCCACAAACCTAAAAGCAGTTTAATAGAGTGTAATTTGTTATGGTGCCTGACTGACCATCATTGTTGCCAACAGCCACGAAGATGAGCAGAGATGACTGTGAAATAATCCCTGAATGGAATACAGTGGACCCTCGAGTTTCGAATGTACCGATTATCGAACCTTTCGAGTTTCAACTGCTTTTTTCCAACCAATTTTGTTCCGAGTATCGAACTCTACCCGTCTTTCGAACCGCCGGGTACTGGGCCTGTCCGCCAGCCCACTCTGTCCGTGTCCCCACACAAGCGTTGTGAGCAGTCTGGCTTTGTTGATGCTTGAGTGAACACTAACCTACATGCTCATTCAAACATTTCACTATTAATTCATTGTGTTTAGTGCTTGTGTAACTGTGAATAAGCTACCATGGGCCCAAAGAAACTTGCTAGTGATACCCCTGTGGTAAAGAAAGTGAGAAACACCATAGACGTGAAGAAGGAAATACAAAAATATGAGAGTGGTGTGAGACTTGTTGAGCTTGCCAGGATGTACAGCAAAAACAAGTCAACCAACGCTTCTATCCTGGCAAAGAAAGAACAAATCAAGGAAGCTGATGTTGTGAAAGGTGTTGATATGCTAACCAAAAATAGATTACAGACAGTCGATCAGGTTGAGAAGTTGTTGCTGGTGTGGATCAAGGATAAAGAGATGGCAGGTGATAGTGTTTTGGAGACGATTATTTGTGAAAAGGCAAGGAAGTTGCATGCCAACCTGGTAAAGAAAACTCCTGAAACCAGTGAATTTAAGGCCAGCAAAGGCTGGTTTGAAAGTTTTAAGAAGTGTAGTGGTATACACAATGTTGCAAGGCATGGTGAGGCAGCCAGTTCAGACCAACGGGCAGCTGAGAAGTTTGTATAGGAGTTTAAGGGGTACATAGACACTGAAAAATTCAAACCCCAACAAGTGTTCAATTGTGACGAAACAGGCCTGTTTTAGAAGAAAATGCCAAAGAGGACCCACGTCACACAGGAGGAAAAGGCACTCCCAGGACACAAGCCTATGAAAGAAGGCTAACTCTTTCGTTCTGTGGTAACGCTAGTGGTGATTTTAAAGTGAAGCCTTTACTTGTGTATCTCTCAGAAAATCCCAGTGTGTTTAAGAAAAACAATGCCATTAAGAACAAGTTGTGTGTCTTGTGGAAAGCAAATAATAAGGCATGGGTCACAATGCAAATTTTCAAAGAGTGGGTCCATGAAGTGTTTGGCCCCAGTGAGAGTAAATACCTCCTAGAAAATAATTTGCCACTCAAGTGCCTCTTGTTAATGGACAATGCTCCTGCACATCCTCCAAACTTGGTAGACCTACTGTCTAGGAACTACAGTTTCATCACAGTGAAGTTCTTGCCTCCTAACACCACTCCTCTCCTCCAGCCCATGGGCCAGCAGGTCATTTCTAACTCCAAAAAACTCTACACAAAAGCAGTGTTTGAAAAGTGCTTTGAAGTGACCACAGACACTAAGTTGACCCAAAGAGAGTTCTGGAGGAATCACTTCAATATCTACAGCTCCATAAGCCTTATAGGTAAGGCTTGGGAGGGAGTGACTTCCAGGACTTTGAACTCAGCTTGGAGACAATTGTGGCCAGATTGTGTCCAAAATAGGAATTTTGAAGGGTTTGAAGCTGACCCTGACCCTGCTGACCCTCTGCCTGTTGTGGACTCTATTGTGGCATTGGGGAACACCCTGGGGCTGGAGGTAAGTGGCAA